CTACTAAGCAACAGGGTAAATCTAACAATGTTACTGAACAACAGGGTTAATCTAACTTTTTCCCGGTAGTGTCATGTTGATTGTAATTTTCAAAATTTTTTTTCTAGCTTCATGATTATTCCACCTTCTTCAATTGGACGTCTGACAGGTTGATGCCTGGTCTTTATGGTGACTACCCAGGGTTCATTTCAGATGATGTCACAAGACTAGTTGGCGGTGCAAGGATACGTCAAATACGAAGCAAGCCAGGTACTGTTTATATAATACATTGTATAAATAAATCAGTGGTCTTAAGCGAACAGGATTTGTTTGGCACCATCATGAGTGCGCTTAATCTCTCACCATTTTTGGCTGAATTCAATGCCTACTAATTTCCTAATTTGCATATTGATGAACAAAAGTCACTCTTTGGACAGTGATGTTGATAATTTAGGTATGGAAATCTATGAATATGAAATTAAGTACTTCATACAAAAGTACCGGTAAGTTTAAACTCACTTATTGAACTCGTTTGCACAAACAACAAAATCCAAACAAAGATATTTCAGATTTGCATATTACATTATCAAATTTGCATATTTTGTTTTAAGAATGTTTCAAACATACTTGTATATTATTTGTGTTTCAGATTCCTGCTCAACACCTTTAGAAATGAGATTAGCTATACCACAATGCAATAGTAGTTATCTAGTTGACTCTGAAGATACAACATCCTATTCTGAGTCATGGCAACTGTTGCTTGGCAACCAAACTATTAATGCAACATCAACAGATCCTTGGGAGTTTCAAGAGTCCGTCAGTAACCCATACTGGGGCCAGGCAGCCACATACAGTGGTGATGGTTATGTGTGCGTCTTAGATGGAAACGAAACTGTTGCATTGGATACAATCCAATATGTAGAAGATGCCTTGTGGCTTGATTCACATACCAGAGCGTTATTTGTGGAATTTACTCTGTACAATGCAAATAGCAATTTGTTTAGCATTATCACGCTTCTCATTGAAAGACCTGATATAGGAGGACTTCTGAAAAGCTATGAAGTATTAACAGTTAGCTTGTTCAGATATGCCGCTGATTTTCAGCTTTTTGTTATGTCTTGTGAAATCGCCTATATCGGCGCCATTTTATTCTTTAGCGTTATACAAATTATAAGGATGGTTCAACTCCGAAAAAAATACTTTATGTGTGCTTGGAACTGGCTGGAACTCACCATCATCATTGTTTCCATAGTAACCATTGGCATCTACATTCAAAGGGAGTTGGTGACAAACGAAACACTAAAAAAACATCAAGAAACCCCCAACAGCTTTGTGAGTTTTCACGAATGTGCCTTATTGGTACAGACATTCGAATCCATTATTGCGTTATTGGTGGTTCTGGGAACAGTCAAGTTTCTTCACCTGCTGAGAATAAACCCTAAAGTCTACCTTCTAACAGCTGTTCTAGCGTCATCTGGTCGAGAAATGGCCATTTTCACATTAATGCTGATGGTTATCTTCACTGGCTTCGCATGCATGGCGTATATTGTTGTTGGTCCGGTAGTAGCGACATTTAGAAACATTGCCGTTACGTACGAGACCATTTTCAGCATCATGCTCGGGTACGTGGATAATGAGTTACGCCGAGTCAGCCCCTGGTTTGCGGCTTTTCTCAGCATATCGTTTGTAACTATTGCAGTGTTTTTTGTTCTTAATATATTTATTTCTTTGCTCATAACCACGCTGAAGCGAGTCCGACGAACTCACAAGCCATCAAAGGACGAGGTGATAGTAGAAATGATGATTTCTAAAATTATGTCTATATGTATGAAACCCAAGAGGGGAAAAAACTGAACAATTAAAGCACATTCATTACTTTGTGTTAAATGTAATATTTATAAATAAATAAAATATTTTAATTTTAGTAATTTTTGTCATAGCTTCATTTAGGTATTGTAACTAACATGTGATATTTTTGTCATAATACAATATATGCCTTAATTGCTGAAAATATTCAGGGATCATCAACATCCTAAATACTGTGGGTGTCATGAAATACAGGCGACTTTTGTAGAGCAGATGCAATTGCCAACATTTGCAAGCCGTAAATTACTACCGAATAAGCATTTTGGTAGATTTAGCTGTGACTGAGTTTTCAGCATCTTAGGGTGTCTATCATCAAGTCCACCTAACCACTCGCAAAATTTTCCAATGGCCACCCCCTCATGCATCCTTCTTAATTAATCTAAATTTGATACAAAGTATCTCCCATAGAATTGATTTACGATGTATATTTATTTATTCAAAACTGAAACAATCAACAGTGAGTTGTTCTATGGTCAGATACAAATAATAAAATACAGAAAAGTTAAACAAACTACTGGTAAACAGAATGCTAAATAAAGCTGAATAATATTACAAACAATCACAAAACACTTGTACAGTAAAATACACTAACTACTACCGAGGGTATTGCAAAGAAGTGATAATCTCATTAAAATCATAACTAAGTGGAAAGAATAGTTTTAATTTTGGTGGAGCTGCTCATATCTCATTCGCATACATTTTTGTATATATTAATTGTGCAGTTCCGATTCCTGCTCAATTTTCCATAATTTCTTTGAATTTTTCTAGTTCATTTAACTAAAATTTTGTATAATTTCTTACAGTAGTTAATAATTCAATTCTGTGTGTATTGTACAGACTGCAATATTTACACACTCTTTCATTCATTGGAGTTCTGCAATGTCTGCCAGTTTCAATATGGAGTTTACAATCACAGATTCGGAGCTAGCATAAAGCTTGTCTCAGTTTAACATTACTCATTGTTATTAAATATTTTTCCATTTTAGTCTGTTTTGAATGTTCTAAAATTTGCCAATTTGTTTCACCATTTGCTCTGTTGTCATTAAATAGAGCTTCTTTCCATTTTATTATGCAATTCTTTTTCAGCAAAGCAGATATAGTCGTGGTTTGGAGCTGTTTCTCCTTTTTATTTGTTGTTTGATTGCTTCATCATGATTGTCATCACTGATAATTTTGTCAACATTTTTTGTCCACCCAGTTATTATTATATTGACCTCATCAAAGGTGCTTTTTATTAACTTGGCATCTCTGGGTGTTTTGATCTGAACCAGAATTTAATTATTATATGCACATGTTTTCCTTTCAAAACTGAAACTACAATGTATGCTGTGATTTTAGGTTGTCCAGATAACAAATAAATAGTCGTGGTTCTGACATGCATAACTCAAGAATGCCTTACCTACTGATTCAATCATTGCAAATCATGAAAAAAAATTTTCATATTAATGATGACGAAAAGTAATTAAGGTGAAAATTTATTTATTCACTTGAAAAAAAAAATATGTACATTCATTTGTAGAAAATGAACAACTGGATTATTGGCAGTGTTACTATGACAATGGTTGCTAGGGCTTCAATAATCGAGCCCAAACCTTGATTGTGTAATTAACATAAATCTTCATGTCAAGTTTGATATGGAACATATATAATGTTTTTTCGTACAATATTAAAACGTGAACTGAGCGTTTAATTTTTTTTGAGACAAGCAGCCTCTCGGCTGAGATAGCTCCGCTGTTAGCAATTCACATTTCAATTAAAGAACAGAAGATATCATTAGAAAATGAACAATATGCATAGTATCAATGCAATGGGACTTGCTGTTTTCAAAAAGTAAAAAGTGATATTTTCGACTTCTTGTTAAAAACCTCAAGTCCGATCGATTGCTTTGATATCACATATATAGGTACTACATGTGGACCTTTCTCAGATTTGTTCATTTCGTGATATCTTCAATTTTGGTGAATATTTTTGGTGAAAAATGATATTTCAACTTCTTTTGTTAAAAACGGCAAGTCTGATTGCTTTGATATTACATATATAGGTACTCTACATGTGGACTTCTCTCAGATTTGTTCATTTCGTGAT